TGTATAAAAATAATATATTATTTATATATATTAAAAAATACATACACACGTACACGTATGTATAGAATTTGTGTGTGTTTGTGTAATACACAGTCTATTAATGTAAACTATTTTGACATGACTTTCTATTTTATGTGTAAACTTTCTTACCTAAAGATACATGGCTATGCTTGTGTTGAATGTGTTTGCACTTTGTTTGGCATAGTGTTTGACTGTGGTAGAGTAGAGAATCAGCCAGAGTGACACCTGCCCACGAGGCTGGGGAGACAAAAGGTACTGAATGAAGGATAAAGTAAAAAAAAAACCAAAAACAAAACCAAAAAAAAAACCCCAACAAAACGAAAATACAGGGATTCATGGGAGGAAATAGTGTTACTGTGGAAGGACTCAAATCTGGAGGAAAACTAGCTTCACCAAAAAACCTTTCTGTGGCTACTGTTTGTTACTTTGTTCCTTTGGATACTGCTTTTGATCCTTGTCCTTTCTTTGCTTTTTCATAATTTGCAGCCCATTTAGTAGATAGTCCACTGTTCTGTACCACTACTGGCTTTTCAGTCTTGTTGTCTTTGCTTCACTTCCATCAGCGAAGGAAACTATTGGACTTAAGATACTCAGGCAGATAACAACTTTTCATTAGCTCTAAGGGTTGTCTGTTACTCTTCTTCAGTTTTTCCTGTTATGCAGTTCATAGAAGGTAAGTAAGGAGGCTCACCACTAGATCCTTCCGTACAGTGCGTTTACGCAGGAGGTGTTTCTAAGAAAGCGCCGAAGTAAATAGTACACACTGTTGGCTTTGAAACTCAGGTAATGTTCAACAGCTTGTCTTCTAAGCCAGTATTCACCGCTTTAATATCTAATGGGTCAGATTTTAAGCTTTTTTGTTCTTCAGTCTGACTGTATATTAGGCCCAAAGCACCCAACTCTCCAACAAAGCAACTCCAACAGCAAAAAATTTGGTAGCTGTAAAACTCAACACAGCCCTTCTTTTTGGTGAAGAAATAGTGAGCATGAATAATTGTTCTTTCACTTACGCATAGAGATAAATTGTAAGTTTAGAGAGCAAAATATTGCAATTATTTACTGATTGGTGTATGCACTAATGTTTGAAGACTATCATCCTCTGTTGTCTTGTCCTAAATTTTGCAATGTATATATTGTTTTCTTCACCAATGCTTTGCCAAACTGTTGAGACTTTTCCCCTGTTATTTAAAGTACTTACAGAAAAAAAGGAAAATATGTATTTGAAGATCTTATTTTTATCTTCAGGAAAGTGTTTTTAAATAATAAACTTGAATGACAAAGAGGTATAAGGCTTTCGCTTCAACAAAAAATAAAGCTTTGAGAATTAAAAGATCTAAATCTGCTTCCAAAATGTAATCAAGAGGATTGCAATTACTCCACTAATCCAAACCCTGGGAAATTTTAGCCAGGAGATCAATTATTTCACTTCCACGTGTTTTTCTTCCTTTTTGTTTGCAAACTGAAAATTTGGAGAACATTGCTTTTCAACTCTTTGAATCATATTTATTGCTACGAAGCAAGTAAAAATTTGTAATTCATACATCCATCCAGTTGACACCCTGTGGGCCAGGGGAGAGTAGCATACTTAAAATAGTTGATTCATTATCTGCTGTTTCAGTGACAAAGCAGTGGCAAAGTACTGTTCAAAATTATAGCAGTTGAAAGTCACACTTGGTCTTAAACCTTAAAGGTCTTTTCCATCTTAAATGGTAATATGAAAGTAGTTCAGTGCCAACTTGCTACTGATGTGTAGTTCATGGTAAACTGCTGTGTTGAAAGTGAGTGCTCTGGCAACAAACTTTTGTTTGTGTTATTTAAAGTTAACATCTGGCATGAATATAAACTTAGGCCCTCTTCTCTCTCAAAAGTTCAGGTAGATAATGCATGCATGAACAAACTGTATCCAACAGTTTTCTGAGGAAGGACGGTTCTCAAAGTAGCCAGATGCTTTTGAGGAGAAAAACTAACAGGAAGTAAAAGAATGAACACTTTGACTTACATTAATAGAAAGAAAAGAAGGGAAGAGACATGCAAGGAGAATACAGATGTATTTCCCTGATGAAAAATCCTTACCATTTCTTTCCTATTGTGGGTTGGATTTAGGAATTAATTAGATGAGGTTTTAATCTTAGTTGTCTAATGTCTCCAGTCCTCTTTATATATCGAACTCTTCCTAGTTAGGAATTAATCAACTAAGAAAACCAGCATTCTTGGTAATGTACCTTGTTCAAAGCAAAGTTTGGAATGTAGGAACTGAAGTGCTACTAAAAATCTATTGGATCTGTATTTGAAAAATTATAAGCGCTTTTGAAGATTTTATTTTTTTTTACCAGTTGCTAGGTATACTGCTCATTCTGGATGGCCACAAATAATCATTTTTCAATCAATGACAACAAATTAACTAGACTTGAAGATAAATATATTCCTTCCTACTTTTTACTTCTGTTAAAGTTTGTTTACCTCTTTCTTTACATGCTTCTGCCTCTCTCTTGCTTATCTTACAATATTCAGGAATATTCCAATAAATTTAATGGAATCAGAAAGGAATTGGCAAGAAAAGAGGTAAGACTGCAGTCTGAGGAGTGTCTGTATTTGGATCCATAAAACTCTGAAGGAAAATTTAATGCCTAGATGTATAAAGCTGCAAAAGTGTTAACACAGAAACTGACTTCTGTCTGAAATTTCTAAACCTGGTACTTGCTTTCAGTAAGAATTTTGATAGGAAACAGCTCTCTGCAATTACTAATTATTCTAGTTCAGCAACTTTTTGTGCAGTAGTATTGTTTAATTATTTTCTATGATTTTGTGTATTGACCAGATGCTCAAGAAGGCTATTAATAACGTCAGAAGAATGGCTTCGCATCCAACATTACCATATTGTAAGTTCAGTTATGTTAAAAAAAAAAAAAAAAGAAAAAGTTGTCTAAATATTATATATTTACTTATTGGCTCTGTTTCATAGTATGCTGCTATTTTGTACTAGCACAGCAAGCTATTATGTTTTAAAAGTTGCTTATAAGCCCTGTGTTGCTGAAACTGTATTTCATTTCCAAAAAAAATAATACCGGGAGATACAGAATGCCTTTAGAAACAGTGATATTTTTTATAGCAAAAAGTGCTGTATTTACGTTTCATTTGTGACTTGAGTGACAGATGGTAGGAAAAAGATACATTATTATCTCCCAAGTAAATAGCTTCATATTTCAGTACCGTCTAAATAGAGTTCTTAATTAAATAATGAGTACAGTTGAGTGTTGAATAGCACATTCAGTGAGTGGTACTCACTACTACAGTATGCCAAGTACTATGGTACATATTGTGGCACTAGTTATTTTGAGGATGTTGTGAGCTGGTGTTAGATTTCTTAAAATTTTGGAAGGAACCTTCCTGCTCAACTGCCACAACATGAAAAGTCATGTAAATATTTTCTGTTGCAGACCTGACGGGTGCTCAGGACGGTAGTGTACGAATGTTTGAATGGGGTCATGCACAGCAAATCACATGTTTTCGGTCTGGTGGCAACTCAAGGGTAACTCGAATGAGGTTCAATTATCAAGGAAATAAGGTAACTGACAGAGTGGTTCTGCACGTACCCTCTTCTCTTCCCACCCGCATTATAATTGTACATGAGCAGAAACATCACATTCTTCAAATCTGGAGTAGTTTCTCTGAATTGTGGATAACTTCTTTGTAATACATGCATATATACTTACAATTAATATATCTTTTTTCAGTTTGGAATTGTTGATGCTGATGGATATATAAGTTTATATCAAACAAATTGGAAATGTTGCCCACTTACTGGAACCTCACCTAAACCGTATTTGGTAAGCTCAAAACTAAATTTGCTTCCCTAAACTTGTGTTGCGCTCTCTTATTTACTTCCCCCTTTAGAGTAGTTAGGAGAGGGCAGAGATGGTGCTGATAACCTGTGCTAAGATTTAATAATATAATTGTTGCCATCCTGTGATCCATATCACAGGCAGTTCTTAAATCCTAATCTTACTAAGTTGGAGAGTAGAAAATGCAATGTTAGATCTGAAATAACTTTAATGTTCGTTGAGAGTTGTCAATAATTCTCAACTGTTAATTAATTGTCAGTAACGAAGGACTGGAAAGTATACTTTCATGAAAAATTTAAGAGTATCAGAAGGCATGCACATACCTTTATATCCTGTGTTCTTTAAATTATTTTTGAAACAGGTTACTTTCTTGAGGAAGTTTAAGATGCTTAAACTTGCTTATATAAAATCCATTTATTTTTTAATTAATAATTTCTAAACTGCAATTTTTCAGACATGGCAGTGTCATAACAAAACAGCCAATGACTTTGTTTTCATCAGTTCATCATCTTTGATAGCCACAGCAGGATTGTCTTCTGACAACAGGTAAGAACTGCTGTGTTAATGCATAAAAAGGAAGTGGTGTCATGTTTTCTCCCCTTCCCCAACCTACTTTTTATGGTGATTCTTCTTAAGCAGTTTAAGAGCAAACATGCATACTTCTGCTGTCTGTCTGTCTTTCTGGGAGGGGGAGAGAAGCAGTGTTGGAAGCTAAATTCCATATGCCTGTTAAAGGAGGTTCTGTAGGGAGGCACAAATCATCTGTTCATGTTCCATATGAGGAGGGGAAGCAGAGAGGGAGGTGCTGATCTCTTCTATCTGGGATCCAGAGTCAGGACATGTGGGAGTAGTTCAAAGCTGCATCAGGGAAGGTTCAGACTTGACATTAGGAAGCATTCTTTACCAAGAGGATGGTCAAACACAGGATCAGGCTTCCTAGAGAAGTGCTCGATGCCCCAAGCCTGCCAGTGTTGAAGAGGCATTTGGACAATGCCCTTAATACATGCTTGAACTTTTTGGTCGGCCCTGAAGGGGTCAGGCAGTTGGACTAGATGATCTTTGTAGGTCCCTTCCAACTGAGCTATTCTGTTCTATGCTATTCATATGAGCCCGTATTAAATTATTTTGATAGGCATAAGGAGTTGTGCATAGCTCTTCGTTTCGCATTTACGTTCTTAAGTAAGTTTTGATCAAAAAATAACAAAAACTGCTAACATTCAGGTTAAGATTGTAATCTCAATATGAATCCTTTAAGAGAATAACCAGTTGTAGAATGATTGTCTAGAGGGCATATTCTTCCGCTGTATGTATAAACTATGAAAGTAGTTTGGGGTTCTGCTCAAAAGTAATCATTGAAGTCTGTTTATAGTCCTGTTATGCCAAAACAATTTTTTTTAAAGTTTAAATGACTTTTCAAGTGTTCAAAGTTCTTTAGAATATTTGTTGCTGAATTTAAACTTTTTTTTCCTACAGAAATATTTGTCTTTGGGATACTTTGGTTTCACCTACAAATAGCTTGGTGCATGGTAAGTAAAATACAACCAGCAAAATATTAGATTGCCATAAAAAAATATATCTGTGTGTGCCTGTCCTTATGGAAAAGTTACTGTGGGAAGCAATTTTAATATTAGCAGTAAAACATCTTTCACTGTCCTGTGTGAGCGTACCAGTAGGAATATAAAAACAGATTCTTGAGAAAATTTTTAGTGCTATATCTAAATGGTTGTTTTCATGGACATGAGTATCTTCCTTTCTATACCTTTTTATCTTTGCACTAGAAGTGCAGCCCCTGACAGCCAGACATCTGTAACTTCTGTTCCTTTTTTAAAAGATTCTGAGAATTTCCTGCTTGTAGTGACTATCATGTTGAGAAGACAATAGCTAAAATAGTCAAAAATACAGTTTTTAGCACAGTTATGAGATACATATTTGCAGGATATGGGTTCACACCCTTCAAATCAAGGTTGCTATTGTTGTGTCTGTACTCATAAATCAGAGAGGCCCCACTCAAAATTTATCAGTTAAGTGTTAGACCAGATAATGGTATTATAAAGATAGCGTTGGGCACTTGCAGATATATTATGTGTTTGGATAATATGAGAGGACATGCTTTTTATGAACTCTTAAGTATTTTGTGGTCTCTGTGAAAATCCTGTCCTCAGAGAAGCCGTGATTATAAAACAGTTCCCTGAAGGTATGTATATGAATAAACTCACCAAAGTTTCTAGAAAAATATTAATTGATTTTTATGAATATATTGAACAAGCAGATGTACAAATAAGATCTCATAATTATGTAGTAGTTTTCAGAGTTGAATTAAAATATGAACTTAACTGCTGTATTTGTAAAGTAGTGCATTTTTGCCTTCAGAGATTGTCCAGTTCTCTGGCACTTTTATTCTATGTGTTATGGCAAATACTGGGGAGTTTTAAATGCTTTCTCAGTGTGCGTGTTTAGATGTTTACATACAGTATTACAAAAATGATTTAGAAGGATTATTCCTATAAGTATGCTTTTTGAGATGTAATAAATATTTAGCAGGGTTTCATTAACTTTATTACTAATACTTTGTGGCAGTCGAAAAGAAACACATTTTAATGTCTGAAATACACAATTAGGCTCAGAGTTGTGAACTCCTTGTAATTGAAGTATGGTGAATGCTTAAATGTATGCAAGACATGGAATTTCTCAATGTATCTTTAGAGGACCCTTTGAACTACAAGTACAATGTACTACATGCCACGTGTTAGGATTCGTAGTGTCCAGTCTCAGACATAGTGAGCTTTGTTCTTGTAATCTTCATTCACTTCCTCCACTCATTTGAGGGAGTAGACATATCCAAACAAATATGAAAAGCAGCAAGTTAAAACTAAAAAAAAAAAACAAAAAAACAAAAAAACAACCAGTGGAAACTTACAAGATACTTGGGCAAGTAATTTAGGAGGACATTTCTTACTGGAAACATAGGCCTTAAAATAACAAGCAGTAGAGAGTTTGAAAAGAATCTGTTTCTGGTCAAGCCTTTATAGTTTTGATTACACAAGGACAGAAAATATGATATAAATATTTTTTCATACAGACTGTAACTGCTTAATTTGAGAATACTGCAACTTCAAGGTGTCTGATATGAACCTGGGCTTACATATATATGGTACTGCAGTAAAGGGACTGGTTTGGTCAATTGGATTACAGCATCAAAGTCACTGTTGCTACTGTCTTGAACTGTTACAGGTTGATGGAAAATTAAAGTTAGTACTGTGAAATTGAGGTTAGTGGTGTGTGTTTATTTAAATAACTTTGCTTTGGTTTTCAGCTTTTATCTGTCATGATAGTGGAGCAACTGTGCTAGCATATGCTCCAAAACATCAGCTATTAATATCTGGAGGCAGAAAAGGCTTTACATGTATAATTGATCTTCGCCAAAAACAGCAGCAACAGTTACTCCAGAGTCATGATTCTCCAGTCAAAGCAATTGCTATTGATCCTACAGAAGAGTATTTTGTCACAGGATCTGCTGAAGGCAACATAAAGGTATTGATGAGGGGGAGGGAGCAGTGATTAAGATGGTGATGATGTGTAAGTTCAAAAAGAATCTTGCATAGGTGTGGAATAATCAGGTATGTCATATGTTCAGCATTTGTTCTCAACTCTGACTCTCACATTTACTAATTTAATTATGAAATGCTAGTCTTACTGTGCAGTCCTCCTTGTACTTAGTCTTACGTCAGTCCCTGTACATATTCCTTATTATAGAAAATGAATATTAATATTCTGTATCATTACAGGTTGCGAGACGTTTTTCTTTTTCAGTTAGTGTCAGAAAAATGGAATGCAAAATGTCGTCAAATTTCTTCATGACTCATTACTGGTGAATTTTAAGATCATGGTAATTATCCTTATAAAAGATTGATGTTTTGATGCTTTTTCAGGTATGGAGTCTCTCTACATTCAGTCTTCTTCACACTTTCATCAATGAGCATGCTCGACAGTCTCTCTTCAGAAACATTGGGACGGGAGTCATGCAAATTGAGACAGGACCAGCAAATCACATATTCTCCTGTGGTGCTGATGGAACAGTAAAGATGAGAGTCTTGCCTGATAGATTCAGTCCTTTAAATTATGTGTTAAAAAATGATGTGAAATTTATGATTTAATTTTTCTCAGAAGAGTGTATAACATTCCCCCTCTGCCATCCCTGAAAATGTCTTTCCTGGAACTAGCCAACAAAGCAGATACACAATGATAGCTTGTGCCACGAAGATGCTTCCCCCCTGCCCTATTTATTGCCTGGAGCGTTTAGTCCCTGATGCACTGATGCCTTAAGGATTAACAAGGTCCTTCAGATTTTGATCGTTGCCTAAAATAAAAGCTATATGTGACTCTGAATTATATACTTAGAATATTATTAAGATGTTGCCGAAGTGGTTTACTCTTCCTTTTGAGATAGTTACACTCCCACCTGGAGGGTACCATCTGGGCATGGCCTTTGCTTATATTCAACACCTGGCCACCTTGTAAAAGTAGGGCTGTCCAGATGGAAACCTTAGATAATGTTACTCTTTCACTGTGGCAACCATAACTGTCTCTCTTCTCACCTTGTTTAGCGAGCTGACAATAGAAATTTATATCTATGCCTAGAAGAGAAACAAAGCCTGTATGAGTAGGTACTCCTGGCCATGCAAGCATTCATATAATGAGCCACTGTCTGTCTCCATTCCTGGAATCCAGGCTGTTTACCTCTCTAACTTGCCTGATCTCCTTCCTCTGATCTAGGGTATAAGAAACTGAAGGATGTTCTGTAACTTGTCTTCTGTTCTATAGCTTGAATCCCTGCCATCAGGATGGCAGGCTTACTTTTTGAAAAGTATATTTTTAACCCTGAACACTCCCTTCACAAAAATATGTAAATATTAATGGATATCTTCCTAGTAAAATAGTCAAGATTGTGTGAAGCTTTAGTCTTGATCAAAAAGATAGAGGAAGATACTGCTTTAGGATATGGCACTAGAATTTCTTCAAAGACTATTTATTTACATGTCTGTAGAGGAAAAAAAAAAGATAATTTATTTTTACATTTTTCCAGTAAGACTTTTATTTAGCCCAAAGATACTCAGTTCATTTTTAGCACTTACGTTCTTGTTTGTCTGCTTTTCCTAAGTACTTTAAAAAAGAAAAAAGGAAAAAAGTTCAACAGCAAAGTACTTTAATACTGTCAGTCTTTGTACTGTATGTTTACATCTGGTGTAAAATGAAAGAAAAAAATTTTGAAAAGACTAGATGGATTTTTGCCAAAATACTAAACTGCATAATTTAAATGTTTGACCAAATTATTAATGCACAAAGCCTTTACATTTTTTTTAGTCAGCTAAAAACTGTTTCTGTAAGTATTTTGGTTTACTTTTCCTGACTTGAGAGCATGACAAAGATTTAATTTGTAAATTAGATGTAAGGCTGGATTACTTGAATGCCAATGGTGTACTTTTTGCTAAAAGATATTTTGTGAAATATAGCACCAAGATATTAACTGTAAAATAAACTTGTCAAATTAGGAACTATGGGGATAAATAAAGCATAGCAGAAATGAAGGGCTTGTACAACGAACTTTGTAACATTCTCAGGATGCTTTTATCTTAAGAATATAAAATTGTTTAAAAAGATTTTGTAAAATGTTTTAAGGTCATTTTAACTGTATGTTTCGCAAGTTGCAGTGCAAACACTATGAAGGTTTTTATGCACATAACCTGAATTTTCAAATTGTGCAATAAAAAGAATGTGAATATTTTGCCATGAAGAAACATGTGACAGCATTTCAAACTGGTACAGCTGTTCAGTGATTCTATTATAATTGTTCTTCCACAACCCTTATAGATTGAAATCAGAATTGATATCAAAACAGTTTAAGTACAGTGATGGACCAGAAAAGTGACTGACTAAAAGTGACACCACCTTACAAAACAGCCTTGCCCAATGCATATGTCATATCTGCTCTGTGGCTGAGTTTCTAATATTCGTTATTCTTAAGAAAGAAGGAAAACAATGGAGTTCACAGTAGCACACTCCTTGAGAATCAACTGAAACCCTGACTTTGTAGCTGCTTATATACATGGCATTAGTTTTATGCACGCACTGTACTAACAAAGTTACACTCAGAAAAGGAAGATGTGCAAAAATCATGGCAACTTTATATAATGATGTCCTTGATGTTTTGTCCTTAAATATTTATATCTCATTAGTTTTAATATTTCAAGCTCAGTTTATTCTACTAGCACTCACAAAAATATCTTCATCATCTGCGAACTGAGCAGGTTTTATATGTAATTTACCAAGACATACAATGTTGTCATTTTTCTGAGTAGAGCTGCACTATGAATAATCCTGGCAAACTTATGCTTATACCAGAAAAGTACTGACTGAGCAGGCATTTTCAATAATGTTTATAGTTACCATAAGCTACTCTCAAAACTAAATTATGTAAAAACACAATGTATTTGCCACACCTTCATAATCTTCTCAATAAATCGTGCAGAAACTCAACCTTCTAGAATTCCATGTTGCTGCTACTTCATTTACATATCTGTTGTTTGCTTGTATGACGTTCATTGATGTTTAACAATTATTATTGTAAGTCAAATTATTGGTAGCTTGCTTGTAATGAAGGAATCAAAATGAGTTAACTTCTGTTGTATCAGAAACTTCTAAAGGGACACTCTCAACTTTAGTTATTGCAGAAGAACTTAACTCAAAACTCTTCCAGCTGCTGCCCTTAACAACTTCCACTGACTTATGTCCTCCAGCAATTAATGCTTTCTCCCTGTTGCTACGCAGGTTACTCAAACATACGGGTAATGATAGTGGCTACCCGGGGTTCTGTGCTTGAAGTAGCCATGTGCACAAATCGAACTTAGAATTTGCATTTACCAGTGCTTAATCAAGAATAATTCCAGTCCAGACAAAATAACTTGCAGTTGATAATGTCCCTTTTAAGTATCATAGACTAGCAGTTGTGACTTGTGTTTGTCTATGTAGCAATACATAATGCAATCAGAGTGTGTCATTCTTGTGTTGCTAATTGATTCAGTTACCTCAAAGAGATACGTGATCCAAATTCTCTACTATTACTTTAGTAACTTGTGAGAGTTAAAACTCTGGCCATCTGGGTACTTAAACTGGCTTGCTGTGTGACTTTTAAACAGAAAATTCTCAGCTGACAGCTGATGTTGCAGGATGTTTATGTAAAAGCTGGAGAGTGGAATAGCTGCAGATACTGTAACACGCTGCAGTGGCACAAGGTGAGCGTGTACATGTTCTACTGCGTTTTACAAACCTCGCGACCAGTTACAGGAAATAAACTTGAGATTTCCTACATTAGGTACCCCTCCCTTCCTCTTAAAAGCACCCAGTGTTAGATTAGTTGCAGTAGGTATGAAAAAAGCAACAGTGATTAAAAGGAAATAAGCTTGGAGACAATATGTTCTCCAAGGTAATTTTTTCAAATGTTTATTTTTACTAAAAATAGCAAAACCATCTCTAATGGCAGATTCAGCACACTGATCAAACTACTTTCTATAAAATAAAGATACTGATTTACCAAGTTTCTTGCTGTTTCTTATTCTCCCCATTTCTAGCTCTAAAACATGTATGGTTTGGGTCTTTCTCCTTTCCTGTCTTTCATACATTAACTTTTCATGCCTTAGTTTTCCTTGTATTAACTTTTTGTCTTTTGAGGTTTTGTATGTGTGTGGTTTTTGTTTGTTTAATTCAGTGCATAACTATCAGTTCTAATTAGTTCCAAGTCATTCCTCAGTGGAATGAGGCCCATGTGGTGGTAGTGCTTTCTCCACAACTAACTTTTTTAGCTGCCTGTCCGTTTCATTTAAGCTTAGAAGCCTGTGAAGGTCTTGGGGAACTCCAGCTCTCCGATTTTCCCACCTTTAGAAGAGAGACAAAGATGAGTGCCCCTACTCTAGCTACGCTGCTGTAATTAGTAAAAATACCTCAACGTACCGCTCAGTAGAACGCGCGAACAATTTTATTTGGGTTTGCCCTTGCAGTAACTGTAAACCCCCCTCTGGTAGCAAAGCAGGGAAAGAAGCAAAGAAAAGATGTACCCCGAACTCCAGCACCGAGGCCATGCGATGTACGTCGCAGGCGTGTTTAACCCCTTCTCCTCCGCCCGGTGCTTTCCTCGGTGCGCGCCCTGGAGGAAGGAAGCCTAGCGGCGCTGC